AACTATGGGGTGTTACAATAGTTGAGACATTTATAGCCCCAGAACTGTGAGTGTTATAGGAGTTGAGACACCTATAAGTCTAAAACTATGGGGTGTTACAATAGTTGAGATACTTATAACCTAAAACTATTGGAGCTACAGCAGTTGAGAAACCTATAACCCTGAAACTGGTGATGTTACAGTAGTTGAGACACCTACAGCCCCAAAACTGGGGGTGTTACAGTAGTTGAGACATTTATAGCCCCAAAACTGGTAGTGTTACAGTAGTTGAGACATTTATAGCCCCAAAACTTTGGAAGTTTCAGCAGTTGAGAAACCCATAACCACTAAACTTTAGGGAGTTACAGCATTTGAGACACCTATCTCAAGAATGTCACTTGTTAAGAGCAAAGCTATCTGTACTGTGCCTATTATAACCCTTTAGACTTATTGCTGGGGCCATATAAATTACTGAACATTACTTATATAAATATAACAACTTAAGAACTGTACCTGGGACGTATATAAAGAACAGTTATTACAGATAACAATGTGATTAGTCAATAAAACAATAATTATGAAACCATTTCTTTTGGTTTCCTGAATCAAGTAAATTATGCCCTCTTCCAGTTCAGGTATACCATAGTTATACCTAATAAAAAAAAATATATATATATATATAAAATAAATATTTCACGAGTTATATTGTTACAAGAATACTCTGAGGGTTCTGTAACCTTGTAGTTATCAAAAACCAGCGAGTTTAGATACTTAACTAAGTATGGATATATTAACCCCTGTACAGTTTTATGAAGTTTTAATTTTAGAATTAACAAGTTCACATACTGAATATATGTAGTGAATACTGGTGTGTTAACTCCTATACAGTTTGTTGAAGTTTTACTTTTAAAATTAACAGGTTAACATAATGTCTTGTCTTCATAATCCCTTCTACAAGAAGGTGAAATTTACTTAAAATTTATAACAAATCTTACTAGCTTTTAAATACTATGTTACTTTCTGGAAGGTATATGGTTTTATCTGATGTAAACAATTGTGTGGTTTCAATGATATCAGTCCCAATATGCTGTATAGCAGCATAAAATTAATAGATATACAGCTTCCTTTTGTTCACGATTTTCAGCCACTGGTTAATCTACCCAATTTCACTAAAATATTGGGTTATCTTCACTTTTGAGGCTGTCAATTGACAGTCATTTTGGGCTCACTGTGCAAGATGTGGCAGGAGAACAAATGGCTAATGAATATACATAATGATAGAAATATTCACGAAGACGGTGTAATGAACATTCCTTCCCAAATTAAACTGTGTCAAGATTAAGTCTATTAAAAAAAATAAAGTTGTTTCGTATTTGTTGAAAATTTTGACCACTTCCCTAATTCTGTGGATTTTATAATTTATAAATAATAAGTTTGATATTCCTGTAAATCCTAATCCCAACCTTCTATTACTGGGTTATACTTGCAAACACAGATGTATATTCTTTACACATGATAATAAAAATGTATACAAATATATCTTATTCAAAGATAACCAATCTTTGGTTGTGTCACCTTCCTAAAGATCTAATTTTGTACACACTAAATGGGATATGGTTGATCCGTAAGAATGTTATCAAGCTCGCTAAGTTCAAACATAATTTGAATGACATGCCCCGTGCACAAGGTTATCCATAATCTCTTGGATTTCTCTCGAAGCTGCTGAAATCTTTAAAGTTTTATCAAGAGCAGCATTTCGATACCAGGGACCACTAAAATGTAAGTAGAATGAAAAACCATTACAATTTACAAATATTAATATTCTGTCAGTTTCTGTGAAATCTCACAGACCAGCAAGATGGTTGTGATGGGCCGGCACCAGTAGGCTACAACTCTGCTACTATTTATTTCTAAAAACGTGTAAGCCATTTGTTGGACTTATAGATCAAAAAACCTTACGAGAAAACAAGAAACCAGACACAAAGAAACACAGTGTGTACTTTTATTTAACTCTACGTACTGGCTACAGTAACTAATGAAATAGACATCACACTACAGGCACATCTCCACCAGGGACAATTTATCAACCAACACAATATTTTTAAAGAATAGTTAAGGCATAAAAGACAAGCAACTGTTAAATTGTCTATTTACTAGATCCCTCAACATCTGATAAAGAAATTGTGGTTACAGTGTAAACTTGAAACTAACCTACGGCGACAAATTCATGGAAAACTACTACAACATTTGAGAAAGACATTAAAAACACAGCTTCTGAATTACAAACTGAAATTCTAGATAAAAACAAAACATGGGAAATGAAGAATTTCACTCCAAATTTGCTATTATTTTCTTGGTTGAGCCATATTGTGTTTTTTTGAGCAAGTTTTTTTCAACCGAAGAAACATCTCGTCGTTGCTACCTCTCGATCAGGTTTCTGGCAGCCCCACGTTCGTGTGTTAGAATTCACGACTGGATTATTACCATTTTGTGGTAAAATTGTCATCAGAGGAGGTTATACAGCACATACAAAGTAACTATCATGATACAGACCTACACCTCAAATACTGGCTGAGCTGATTGTTACATGTCTGGTTGCATGTTTTTTAATAATATGTATAATCCATCAAAATCTAAAAGAGATTTCCTGAAGCTATTTAATACTTAAAAGTTACAAATGTTTCCACTACAACAATTTTCTCGATTTGTTAAAACTGCCTCGAGATGAAAGCAGCAAATTAACCTCTCAAACTATAAGAAATACATGCTAAGAGCAAGCAGATGAAACAGTTACACAGTCCGCCGAGGTGCACTTTCCTAAGACTACAACTTCCTTGTTATATCCTACTGCAAGAAAATAAAACATCTATAAAATATTTAACATGTGACAGTATTATCAATAAAACCACTTTCAGTGTAAGTTTTGTTTGCAAAGTTAGAAAAGAGTGCCGACTCAACAATTAAAAAATGATATCAAAACAAATCACATTTATCTTGAAGCAATCCTACACTAGGAAAATTTATGTACATGGATAGTGCTGCCCTCTCATGTTAAGAAATAAAAATTCCTTTCACATTATTTTACCAATTCAATTCAATTTTACTGCCATGAGTAGATTAAGTTCTACAAGAACTTGATAATTCTTCAATACGTTGTTCCTGCTAATATGGAAAACAGGTACAATTATAAAAACTAACATACATGATATCAGAGTGATAATTTTTTAAATCTAACAGAGGATAATTAACAACGGTTGCAATGAAGAGCTTCAGTGTTTACGTACAACTTCAAACTTTTTTACCAATACCTCTTGACTAGGAAGATGAATTCAGGTGTGTTCTTCCACATTTTGATATCATGTAATCCTATCTGCATTCAGAACTGATGGAAAACTTGATTATACAACTTAAGTCTGTGTTTTCCAAACATTAAATAGTGGTGCCCCCCAAAACACAGCAAAGTTTGCAAGTGATAACAGCAAAATTAACATTTCCTTCACCTGTTTTTAACCTTTTTTTTTAATGAAGAAATTCTTGTGAGGAGTGAGTAAACATGAGAACAAGGTGATTTAGGCTATCATCGCCTCCAACTCTTCCGTTTATTCCTTTGTTATTTTTTGCCACCCCAGCCCCCCCTCCCAGGAAGCATGCCCCACACTTTGGAAAACACTGGCTTAAGTGAAAACATTTTCTAAAGAAGTATAAAATAAAACTACATTACATGGTTTTATCAAATAAAAGGGGGAAAAAAAATCTAAGTTTTTAGAAGTTTATAATCGTACACTGTAATTAGTCTCAATCTTATCATAAATGAACAGACTGTACTTGTATTCAAGCTTCAAAAATTCATATTATGGAATATTTAAGTCATGCTGATGAAAAGTAAACACAAACAAGACAAAAACAACACTAAGAAATAAATGCAAAACAATAACCATTGTAAATCTTTCATGAATAGATAACCATATCATAACAAAAGTTCAAAATATTCACTATTTAGAATACTAATGAGACCATAAACATACTATGCCCTAATAAATGTATAGACTACCAAGAGGATCCAGTTTCTGTTTCCTATATTTAAAAAAAAAACATTAAGTTTAACTTAAACAACTATGAAAATTGAATGAACAAAATGCATTTATCTCAATTATCCAAGAATTCCTATATTACACCCAGAACTTATTCTAATACCATTTGAATCTCAGAATTCTAGTGTTAACACACCTGGCTTCCATACAGTACCCGTGGGTCTTAACAACAGCCCCAAGAACCATTTCTGTTAATGTAATCATTTTGGTTTGCATAGTTTTATATAGAGAAAAACAACTTTAACTAATGGGTAGAAGGTGTCAAGATGTATCATTAGACAGAAATAAAATCACCTATACTGAAAACTGTCTTCACTTATCATTACTGTTGACACAGCTTCAGTTCAAAGTACCATATACACGCCCCAATACTCGTGACCCACCTTCAATTCTAAGTACCAGAAACAAACACGTACCAATAACCTTGACCCAGTTTCAGTTCAAAGTACCATATACACGCACCATGATCCACCTTCAATTCTAAGTACCAGAAACAAACAGGTACCAATAACCTTGACCCAGTTTCAGTTCAAAAGATTATTTTACATGAGGATTTTTGACTTATATTTAGTTTAGAGTACAGTATATGCTAGTGCCCTAGACCCCACCTTTGGTTTGAAGTCCAGTATGTTCTCAACCCCATCTTCGGTTTCAAATACAATAACTATTGACTCATCTTCGGTGAGAACAAGTTCCAAGAGATAAAAAGAAATTACTGATTTTGTGATAAAAACCTAATACGTTCCTTCCTCACAACTGTAAACACGTAACAATATTTTGTATACAACATGATTAATCACAGACAACTCTAACTGTATTCTCTGTGGCAAGGGCTATCACATCGATTTCTATCCACTCTAAAAACAACCTCAAAAATATTTCTAACCTACAGGCAAGTCAACTCACCAGTTTCTATTATTATTATATCCTATGTTTGAAGCCAATATACACTCTATTTAAGATTCTCCATTAAAGTTTGAAAGTATAAATAAAAAAATTGAAGTTTAATGTCCAGCTGAAAGCTTAGTTAACAAAAAAAATAGCATAAGCACATTACATTCTTACTGTCAAAGATTATAAAGCTACATGCTAGAAGCTTTACAAGCAGTTCTGTCCTAAAACAGCTTTATTTATTAAACATGGCACACGCACAAACCTCATGGTACAAACATAACATAATTTCTATATAAAATAGCAAAGGCTCAATTTTTTTTACATAACCTATACATCTGGATTTCAGTGTACAGACCTTATTGTCTGTCACGCAGAACAACTAAATTAAAACGATTCTGCATGACTTGATGTTCCAGAACCAAAACCATACATCAATGAAAGATTTTCAACATTAAATCTTCTTTCCTGTACAATCAAGTTTCTATAGAAACACACATAATGCGCTCAAACTTAAAGAGTCCACTCTTTGTGACTCGTCAACCAGAATTATCATACACATATCCAGAACCCGAATGTCAGTCTCTTCCCTGCAAAGTGTAACCTCAGCTTGCTGGGACAAGTCAATGGTCGAATCTATCTGTTCACTTCACCACACGATCTTGGGTCCCGTAGTTTGGAGATTATAGCTTGAGCCTCTTGTTCGACAGGTAGGACTCAGAGTAGTGGCCACCAATCCCCTGGGAGTGCTGTCCAACATAGTTGTTCTTCGGACTGGGTTCTGGAGAGGGCAACAAGTAATGGAGCTTGCGTTTTTGTCCGACAGGAGTCTTGAAACAAAAACACATTTACCCCTTCTTATGATCTGTTACTACTAGTTATCGTTATCATATGTTATGAGGTTTTAAACAAAAGCTGTCTGTATTATGGCAAGCACTTGTCAAACAAAAAGTTGTTTGCATAAAGATACTACATTATTTAGTTTTCATGAAAATGACAAAGCTCGAAATATTCACACAACACTTCAGTAACATAAGGTCATTTATAGAAACTCCATAAGGTTATCATTACAACTTTCACCCTATATAATAGCATTGGTCAAATTTTTGTCCTATACTATAACACTGGTCAAAGTTTTGTTCTGTACTATAACACTGGTCAAAGTTTTGTTCTGTACTATAACACTGGTCAAAGTTTT